TATTATTTATAAATTTGGAATGCTTTGTGTTCTTATGATTACATTGTAATTATTATATTAATTTATTAGTGGTATAGCTATATTTTATTTTGCAGCGGGTAATCAATGGTTGAATACGATGAGCCTTCCCTCGCACACTCGTGACTCTGACTTGAACTTTTTGAACACGCGATATGTACGTTTTATCAACTCCACTGCGGATGGTTCTTGGGAAAATATCACGATGCGCTTGGACACAACCGAAGTACGCAGTCATAGATTTTATGTGAACATCAAGCCATATTGGCCGAGCCTGTTAGCAGGCTCCAGTAGCATAAAAAACAAGAGTATCTTGATGTTCCCGCTGACACAAGTTGGAAACACATCGTACAGAGCGATCAAGTTGCATAATCCGAGTGCGAGTCCGTTGATAGTCCAGCTAGTAATGGACTGGAGCTATCCTCAAGGGGCGCGTCTTTATCACTCTTTGCCAATGAAGTATGTGATTGATTTGATAATCGTTTCGCAAATCATTTTTATTTAGGTGAGAAATTAACGATCAAACATTTAATGTTCGCACAGATTTAAACCCGTGTGTGTAGAATGCTTGTCCATGATTCCGGAGGAGTTCAAACTAGAAGAAAATGCGGATGAGCGAGAACTATTTGAGAAACAATGGGGCGTAACGATAGCGCTTCAATCACTTCCTTTATATTTAAATCCTTCGGAAACGAGGACGATTCGTGTGGCATATACACCTTTTTCCACTTCGACGTCGTCTGGTTTTTTATATATTAGGCAAGTTAATAATGAGAAAAAAAGAAAGCTATAATACTAATTGTATTGACGCATGTTTTACTGGCTTTCCAGAAATAATATGACTATTTTAGAAGTCCTACGTATGAGCGGTCGAGGCGCGAGCGCACAATTTAGATTTGGCCATCGCAAGCCGGGATCAACTACGCCTCTGTTGTTCGAACTGACGGATAAACATCTTAAAGATTGTGAACGTATGTACGTTTCCTCATTTTCGCCTCATAATCTCGGAAAAAAAGTTTGCATCTTTTCGCATGCTCAATTTATTTATCCTGTTACTACACCCATAAAGCATGTTCTAAAATCAACATTTGTAGCACTGCGCATATTTCTTAATGATTTTTTTATTTTTATCTTAATTATCATAATTGAAAGGAAGAGATTTTCTTTATAACGCTTCCCTTTTCCAGGAGATCGCAATAAACTTGTGACAACTCTCACCGTAAAGCGATCTTTTACGGCTAGAAATACGGGAGAACTGCCGATCGAAATATATGGTTTCTACATCAATGATTGGCACTGCGAGGGCTACGGCTTCAAGGTACTTGATTGTACACCTTTCAAGTTGAGTCCGAATGCTACTAAAAGAATCGAGATAGCGTTCACCCCGGACTTCACGTTGTCGCGCGTAGAACGAAAGCTGCTGGTAATGACGAGCATGGGACCGGATGCCGGCGAAAACGTTGAGAACGGCGTGGTGATACTTAATCTGTTGGCGACTTTACCGGCACACGCGTTAAATTTGTGCGCGTCTGTGCTCGCTAGACCGCCGTGGGAAGGCGCGGTACAGAAAGCGGCTCTTATCCTCTCGTCAGTACTGATGTTATGCGTCGCCGTGGTCTCATTCCTTGAAGCGGACCGAATACTACGGGAGGGCCTGGCCAATTACTCGAAGGAGAATTCCGTGCAACCGCCTCTGGATCTAAGGCTGCTGTCACATATCTCGAGCAATACGCAAGGAAGTAGTGGTGGCAACGGTTGTGTCACTAATAAAAATGATAAAACTGTGACAAGCGACGAAAAAAACAAGACGAAAAAAGATGAGGTGTTCCCAGATTGGTCGTTAATGAACGTGAAAAAATACAAGGACAAAGATGTGCAGAAAGGATTGAAGATCCCAGATTGGTCCGCCGAAGAAGAACGTAAATTCAAATTGGACACAGAATCCAAGGATCTGTTATCTTTTAAGCGATTCGAAGAGTTGTCTAACGTAGATAACGCGAATACGACAAATGTGTTTGTGTCAAAGAAAAAAAATAATAAAAAACAAAATAACATTCAAGAGGCTCAATCGGACAATTGCATAACAAATGATGTATTCATGGACACTCAATTGATTCAAGAGAAAAAGTATATTGTCAATGCAGGTACAAAATCGAGTCCGACATCAAATAGAAAAGGAAAAACGCAATCGACACAATTGAGTGTTAAGGACGAGCCAAAATTTAATGATCATGAGATTCAAATGGATGCGGTGATAATTAATAACAATCGGGCTAACAATCGGTCTGACAATAAGCGCAATAAACAGACAAATAGCAATGGAAGTAATAGTAATAATCACAATAATCACGTTCCGTTAAAAAAGCTCGAACCAGTGAGCACTCCAAAGACAATTCATCTTTCGGAAGAAGAAACCTCGTCCACGACCACAGAGAGTTCAACTCACGATGAAACGATATCGTGTAAAGTAAGTTTTAGGCCAGTATTCATAGTAGGATCTTAAAGATCGTGTTAAGATGTCATGAATCAATCAAATAACGATATTATGACTTTTTATTTTTAAACATTTTTTATTTAAAAAAATCTTATCGTCGATACTGGAATAATTATAAAAATCTAATATCTGTAAATTAAATATTGAAAAGAGTAACAAAAAAATTATTGCTAAAGTCACTTTATTTACAATGAAACTGTTGTCGCGAAATTAAAGTACTAATTATTAGATTATGTTGAACAGATATAAGTTTTCTTTGACATCTATAAAAAGACATCTATAAAAAGATTTTTTTTCTATAATTTATTCTCAGAGTTTTGACCAACCGTGCGGGAAACAAGAGAAGCTGCAAAGAAAACCGGTATCTAAAAAAAGTAAACCTCAAACTATTCCTCCTGTGCCATGCATAGATTATAAGGATAATTATGAAGGCGACTGTGATGATGATGAATACGATAAGGAGAAGCAGAATAATCCGAATAGATGGAAGACGAACACTACTAGATCCAATACAAAGCATATTCATACTTCACGTACTGTCGAGTCATCCTTTAAGTTGTCACGTCAAAATAAGAATCCACCACGAAAGGAGAAAACTGTGCAGAAACGACGTATAGCTGACAAAATACATATTAAATGTATGTATTTATATCATAATAATAGAACAAAAATACTAGCTAAAATAGTAGAAGTATATTCTGTGGAATTATCTGGGATTTAGATCGGAATTATTTAATTATTCTCTATATTATTGTTGCATTTTCTAAGCAAATGGAATAATTTCGATTAATACGTGTTCTGTATAGATAAAAATATTCATTCATTGCAGCTCCTCCTATAAATGGAAATGTAAGTCAAAAAGAGGATGTAACACGTATCATAGGAACAATGCCTACTCCCTTACCACCTCCGCTCTCCTGTTGGGGCGAAAACAGGGCCAAATTCAGCGACGTAGTGGCGCGAAGTCAAGAGATTGTCTCGTCGTTTTCCAATTTAAATCACATGAATCACAAAAGTCAAACGAACACGTCAAATCTGTCCACGATATTTAATACTGATGTTAAAGACGTTCATTGTGCTAAATCTCAATTGACGCAAGAGTCATCGCAAACACTAAAAGAATATAGTTTGATGTCAAATCCAGTCCTTCTCTGTAATACAACCGTGAATAATAAATCACTCGAGCCAGATCCTTCGATTTTGCAGTCCAAATCACAACATTCGAATAGTTATTTCATCAATACTTTTACAGAACATCCAGTAAGTTGTAGTTTGAGTTAACTTTATCGAATATCATGTGATGAAATTCTCATTGTCAAATTATCAGCAGTTTGAATGTGAGTTGGTGCCGTACGACGATCTTCCAGAAACAGATGAACCGTTAGTAGAATTGGAGACCCCCGAAGAAGACACACGGTGTCAACTGTGGGAAGACACTAGTCCTATGATAAATTTATTATCTGAGAGTACAAACGGATTTCAATTAGAGTCACCGAAAACTCCGGAGAAACCTGTTTTGTCTGACTTGAAAGGTATATTATTTTGAAAAAATTTAAGCAGAATTAGAAGTGTCACTTTATAAAACTAACGAATTATCGTTTTTTATAAAATAAATAATTCGTTATCTTTTTTGTAATTT